TGAGTTAAAAGCATTTATATATATATATATATATATATATATATATATATATATATATATATATATATCAATCATATGGATGTTATGATAGACTACATGTATGCTGTGCTACTAAAACATTTCCTAAGTCTTTGTGACTAAATATCATACAGGTTTATTCCCTGTGTCAGCAGGAGGCTCTACACTCATTGTCAATAAGGATACAAGCCTAGTGTAACAACCACAAACCCAATTATCATTGGGTTGCCATGCCCAAGATCACAGAAAGATATGCATGATCCATATTGGTACATGCATGGTCCTTCCAGGGAGAAGCAGCTCATTCTTCACAGTTTATTGTCCAGCACTATAGTCATACAGTCCCATCAATCACAAAATAGCCAAGAAGGAAGAACTCGAAATATTTCAAGATCAATATGAATAAATTCCAGAAATTTTGAATTATGTTCTTAGCTAAAGTACTAAGTGATCTTTCCCTAATATATCCAACCTGAGACAATTCTTCAAATAAACAAAATTTTCTGTATTCATGTTGAAATCTAAAATGGTTCATTTTTGCTTATCTTAAAGACAAGTTAGATTTGGTGAAATGAAAGTAGTTATTTAATTTTTTAAAATCCATTTAAATAGTATTAAATCTCACATGAGAAAAGTGAAACATTTCTGAGACTCTGAGACAAATTAAATGTCAATACAAATGTTTTAGAGTAGGGTTTTAAACAAAATTTTATTTGAATTATCCTTCCCATCCCTTTTTTACAATATCTTCATCATTTTGGCAAACTTTCACCTATATTTTAAGGATGATGTGAAGATGCAGTTTACTTGTAAGGACAGTTATATATGACTCTTTAAGAGGATTATTGGAATTTGTGTATGTGTGTGTGTGTGTGTGTGTGTGTGTGTGTGTGTGTGTATAACTATATTCACATAAAATTTTGGCAAAGGGAATTTGCAAAGAAGTGCATTTGGATATGAAATCATATGTTGAGTCTGTCATATTGCCCAGAGAAAAACACTTTTACATAAGTAAAATTAATCTGTAAAGGCAAGATGACTAGAATGTGAAGGTGAATGAAAGTCCCTAAGAACAGATGGGGAAAATAATTCAGATGGCTTTCCCTTCTGTCTACACTGTCCCCCAGTGGAGTGAAAAATTTATTTTAACCAAGTATCAATAGCTGTGGCACCTTTATCTCTTTCTCTTCACCAGGTCTTCCTTTGGCAGGGAGGGGTTCTTTTGTGATGCTGATTCAGGAACACCAAAGATTAAGTTACCAACTTTCTTACCTAAGAAACTACCCATGGAAGTTTCAGCACTTTGGGACTTTAGGCTTGCTTGTCTAGCCACCTTGGGCTGAAAATGCCCGCTACACAAAATACTTAGTCAATCTGAGTTGATAATGCAAACCCACCTAAAAGGTCTTATCTTAAAATATTTGCTCTGCCTATTCATTGGAAACAGCCCAAAGACTTTTTTTAAAAAATAATATATATATTTCAAATGTATATSCTTTATTAAACCTCTTGTTTTCATTGCATAATTTTACTATTTTATTTTATTTTTTATTGGTTGTTCAAAACATTACAAAGCTCATGACATATCATCTTTCATACATTTGATTCAAGTGGGTTATGAACTCCCATTTTTACCCCAAATACAAAATGCAGGATCACATTGGTAGCAGAATACAACAGTCACTAATATGGCATTATGTAAAAATGTGAATGTGTAACCRATGTGAACCAAAGACTTTTTCCTGTACTCATCCTGATCTCTTCTGCTGTAATGATTGACTAATTAAATAGTGTCTGGATTCTCTGTTCCTCCCCTTTTGTATTATCCGGATCATCCTTCTGACAATCAAATATTCAGTTCAATCCAATATAGGGAACACTCCTGAGTGTTTGTCCCCTGGGATATCTAGAAAAGCAAAGACAACAGTATCCCTGACATGAAGGATGTTATAGTTAAAAATGGAGCAGAGTTCCTGAGGGCACAAACCAGGTGCAAACGGACACATTTCAGGGACGTAAGAGACAGAGGATGCAGCAGTTCTTGCAGTTTGGGGCATAGTCTTGGCTTCTTAGTTTCATCCCACTTTTTGTAATGTCAGCTAAACTCTCACTTTTATTGTTTTTGCCATCCCATTTCCTTCTGGGATATCTGGCTTAGACTTGCTTTCATAAACTGCTGCTTTCCCAACTATTGCTCTTGATTAACTCCAAATCTCTCCAGCTCTTTTTTTCTCCACTCTCACTCAGCCTTTCTTTCACAGATTTCTGACCCCCAGAATGCCTGTCACAGCGTTGTTCAGTTTTCTGCCAATCAACTTTTGGCTGATTTTGAAATTAGCATTCATAGAGCCCACATTTGCATCTCACATACATAGATATCTCCCATTTACAGCCAAAGGAAGATGAGTATAATATCCTCATAATTGAGAAGAGGGGCTATTAATCACACAGCCTCCAGCCAAGCAAAAAAGTCTGCCAGAGCATCATAATGATGAGCCAGGAGTAAGGTTTCCAGATTTCTCCTCCTCCAGCAGTCTTTTTCTCCAGTTAGTATCAGATACCACACTCATAAGGCATACAGGTGTGCACAATTTTAATAAAACCATTTTTTAAAAAAACCCACACTTACCAAGAAATAAAATGTGTGTAGRGAAAGTACAGAGATCAACTAGGGAGATGGTGTTGTTTACATTACAAGATAATTGATTGGATTTCTTAATGCATGATTGGTTAGAAAATATGTTCACATGAATTTAATCTTATGACMGTGTAACCGTCTTATGAGTGCAGCATAACAGGTTAGAAACCTTTCCTAAGATGTTTAGCTAGTAAAGAGGGATTATGGATGTGCTCTTTCTTGTAACAAGGCTGAGAAATAGTCTTCAACCTGAATGCTGTAACAGCTAATGGATAATGGATTACTGAAGTCTAAATGTTCAGAGTTTCTCAGTGGCAAAGAATGCTGTGATTGATTGGCTACATCTGCCATGGGTGAGGAGAATGGATATGTATGTACCTCATATTTATTATGCACATATTAGACTTACTCCCTGTAACCAACACAATGAAAAATGAATATGTTTTGCAAACAAATATACATAAATGATATTTTAAGAGTGAACATGTATTACAATACCTGAAATAACTATATTTGTTAAAATACATGTTAAAATTCCCAATAATTCATTGTTAAATAAAGCCTTTATTCTCTCTTTTCTTTAGCCACATCCAGAGAATCAATATTTCTAAATTTTATATAAACCTCTCCAACCAAAATTGTTTGGTCTTGTGTTCCTTTATTTCCTTTATTATTTCATTTACTTCTGACATACTTCTAAATTCAKGGCAGGTTGACTATTAATTTTTTTTAGGAGACTAGCAGAAGATATTGATAAAAATGTAAATAAGCTTACCGGTTCCCAAAGCCATTAGATGTGACTTAGAAATTATATAAAAATTATCAAGGAAGTCATTGAAGAGTTTAGAAAACATTCCTTTTCTTTACTTTTTTTTTTTTTTTTTTGGTACCAGGGATTGAACCCAGGGAGCCTTAACCACTGAGCCACATCCTCATCCATTTTTATTTATTTATTTTTTAATTTGAGACAAGTTCTTGCTAAATTTCTTAGGTCCTCCCTGAGTTGCTGAGGCTGGCTTTGAACTTGGGATCCTCCTGCCTCAGCTTCCCAAGCTGCTGGGATTACAACAGTACRTTACAACACCCAGCTAGAAAAAGTTCCAATACCCCTTGCACAGCTCATAGCTAAATCCAAGTATTCAAGTTCAACCTTCAGTTATATGTCGTCCCTATTTGGAAAACTTTGTATAGTGCATGAAATCATGATTTTCATGTCAACTTGGCATTGCTATCAGTAATATAAGCTTTATATCCAAGTTAAGAGCTTGTGTAGTTCTAAAACGAAAAGTGGAGAAATAGTATTTGCTGCTACTCAGCTACAGCTATATTCAGAAGTCATATAGTTGCCATGGGGATACCCTG